ATGTAATGGTAGAATCTTGAAATTTTAATGGGGCATTTCCAGATACCATACCCTGGATTCACTCCCTCGTTTATCAGTTCTGCTCCATGTGGTAAACATTGTAATGAGTTACTGTGTCACAGAGTTTCTCCATTGCCTTGCCGTTTAGTCCTAGTTTAGAGCAAAGCGAGTTAAGGTTTGATTGCTGTTGTGTAACGTAGCTCTAATGTAGATGAAGGACTGGAGGGTGTGTAAATGGAGGGTTTGCTGGATGTTGATGTCTTCTAACTTGGTGATGTGGCCTGTGGGGAACATTTCATCTCAAAATCTCCATGAAGGCACTAACAGAGTGCACACCCCAGCTATCAAAACTGTTCTGTTAAAGGGAGAGGACTGCTTTTTGATAGGACCTTAGTAGTCAGGATAAAACTCAATGATAAACACATGAAACTAGACAGGAAATTGAAGTCTGTTAACATGCAGATCCTAAGAAGGAACGAGGGAGCTTGTAGGGGTGGCTTTGAAATACCGTGTGCACAGTCTGTCACCTTCCTCTCAGGACCGCTCTGCCCTAGGAAAGTGAAACACAGTTCGGCGATGGCCCAGTCAGTCGGGGACCAAGAATGCCTCTGTCTCTTTGTTGTGTCTGCTTCTGCCATTTGGAATGCTCCTTGCAATTGGCACTTAACTTGTTTTGTTCCTGTAGCAAAACTGCCAGTGTCCTGAGGCCCTTGGTCCTGTGACTGTCCCATTCAAAGTCAGTCTCGTAATGCAGCACAGTTCAGTGTGGAAAGTTGGTGCTCAGTAAATACTGTTAAATTAGCCATGTTCCTGCGGGGCATGTACTGTTGAAATAAGTCATCTCCAGAGAGACACAAATCGCCTTGCCCAGGTGAGAGCATTCTGTCAGTGGGCAGGAGGTAGCACTTAATATCCGTCAGACACTGGGCCGTGATCAGTACAGTTTATTACAGAAATTAGATTTTTTTCTTTTGCTGCAAGTTCTGACCTGATGATAGCTTTTATTTGCTTCCTTGATTGAGATATAATTAATATCAAAACCCACTGAATTATATGCTTTTATTGATACTTGGTCTCTATCAAAAAGAACCAAAACCAAACTCAGTGCCATTGAGTCGATTACTCATAGTGACCCCATTGGGTTTCCAAGGCTGTCATTTTTGTGGAAGCAAACTGCCCCATCTTTCTTCTGCGGAGCAGCTGGGGGATTCGAATCACCGACGTTTTTGGTTAGCAGCCAGGTGCCTTCACCAGCACACCACCAGAGCGCCTTACTTGTGCTCACTACGGTTGCTTGTTTTCTAGGAGTGGGATCATGCCAAATTTACCATTTTGTGACTAACTTATTTCACTTAGCAAATGATTCCTGGCTTTATTCATGGGGCAGAACTTCATTTCTCTTTAGAAAACTCACTGCCGTTGAGTCGATTCCTACTCATACCGACCCTATACGACAGAGTAGATCTGCCCCATAGGGTTTCCAAAGCTTTAATCTTTCGGAAGCACACTACCTAAATCTTTCTTCCATGGAGTGGCTGGTGGGTTCGAACTGCTGCCCTTTTTATTAGCAGCCCCATGTTTTAACCATTGCGCCACCAGAACTGTTTATAAAAACCAAAAACCCAAACTCACCACTATTGAGTCAGTTCTGACTCATAGCGACCCCCATTGGGTTTCTGAAGCAGAAAGTCATGGAAGTAGATTGCTCCATCTTCTTTCTACAGAGCAGCTGAGTTTGAACCGCCAACTTTCTGGTTGGCAGTCAGATGCCTTAGGCACTGTGCCAGTAGAGTTCCTTAGAGCTCTGTGTAGCAGAGAAATAGTCCATTGTGTGTACGTACCGCATGGTGTCTGTCCATTCATCAAATGGCAGGCATTCAGGTTGCTTCCACTATGGGGCTGTTGTGGCTTGTGCTTCCAGGCCTGTTGGTGCAGGCCTCTGTGTGCACTCTGGAGTGTGTACATCGCCAGGTTCACCTTACTTGAATCAGGGAATGAGGGAGGAGGCAGCTGCATGCTTCTCACTTCATCCTCAGCAGTGACCTTGGAGTGTCATTTAACTCCTTGGGACCTGACTGCTTCTGTAAACGGGGGTCGCATTGTTCTGCTCTGCCGGCTGGGATGACCATTGTCCCGCTGCCTCACAAGCCGTAAACCTGGGAACAGATGAGGCAGAGTATGCTCTGCTCGCTGTCTCTGTGCGCTGATGCTTCTGCCTCAGAGGCTGAGTTACTCGCATTCCCATCAGCCTTTTGAAGGTAGGAGACATTAATTGGGTGGCAGACAACAGCATGTTGCTATTTCTGGAGAGGTGAAGGTTGTTGACAGGTTGACTGGGAGGGAGCCTCAGAATGGTGGACCCAGCGCCCCCTAGTGCCGTGCTGTGGAGGTCATCTTCTGCACAAGGTGGTGGTTATTTCCATAGAGTAGGACCCGACTCATAGCGACCCCTCCGTGGGTTTCTGAGGCAGTATCACTACAGAAGTAGATTGCCCAACCTTCCTTCTGAGGAGTTTGAACCTTCTGAGGCTGGTGGATTTGAACCGCGAGCCTTCTGGTTAGCAGTCGAGTGTCTTAGCCACTACGCTGCCAGAGCTGCTTCTGCAGAAGGTAGTGTTCCTCTATGGAGAACTGTAGAATCCACGTGAACGGCAAACAGCTTTCCTTTTCATCTGTGGACTGAGAGTGAAGAATGTATCTTTATTTCTGAGGTCAGCTTCTTTGCTTTTCACTTAGCACCCCAAATCCACTGTTATCACGTTGGTTCTGACTCATAGCGACCCTTTAGGACAGAGTGGAACTGCCCCATGGGTTTCTAAGGTTGTTGGTCTTTACAGAATCAGACTGCCTCATCATTCTCCTGCAGAGTGGCTGATGGGTTTGTTCTGCCAACTTTCTGGTTAACAGCCAAATGCTTTAACCAGTGTGCCACCAGAGCTCCTTCACTTAGCATGCGTACTGTTTTTTCCTGTTTTGCTCAACCCGTTCCCTGGGCTTTATAGATGTGAGCCCCAAGGGCCATGGTGTAACCCACCATCTCTTCCAGAAGTCAACCAGGAGCCAAGCTGGCAGGCTGTGCTTTTAGTGAGGGTATCTTTTGTTTCCGTCCTGGCTGCGTTGTAGCTTGCCCCCTTTTCCCAAAGTATTGTTACTGTTTTTGTATTATCTGTTAGAATCACTTTACGGATATATATTAAAGGTTATCTTCTAATCCCTGTGTTTCTGTTCACAGTTTTCCTCTCACTTCTGGTAGACATTCCCTTTATTGCTGTAGATAGTTACTCCCATGCCTTGTGATTCTTTGTTGCTCATTCCTACATGAGGACTGCTGGGGGGTGCATTTCCTTGGCAACAGGGAGGTAACTGTTGCTCCAGCATACGTCTTCCCCTGTGCAACTTTCATCACCCAGGAAGTTCCCTCATTCCTTTCTGTCATCAGTCCCTCCATCTGCAGACCCTGGTAATGATCTGTTTCTGCCCTGGCGGTTCTGCCAGGACGGCAGGACTGCAGCCATGCAGTGTGTATCTTTTGACTGTTAGCATGTCATTGTGATGGGCATTTTGGCTGTTTCTAATTTTGGGCAATTTTGAATAGAGCTGCTATAAACATCAGCACACAGGTTTTGTGTGTGTGTGTGGACATAGGTTGAGTGCCTAGGAGTGTGATTGCTGGGTTGTAGATAAGTAACTTTATGTGAAGTGCCAGACCCTTCCCAGAGGGACTGTACCAATTAGCATCCCCATCAGGGATGTCTGAACGTTCTAGTGCTCACATCTTCAGCAGCGTTTGGTGTTGTCAGGAGTATTTTCTCCTAGTTGGTGGCTTGTCTTTTCACTCTCTCCTGAGTAAGTTTTGAGATTCATTATTCTGGACTTAACGGTTTCTATCTGCAGTGGGGCCATTAAGAAATACGAGTCAGCATTGTCATTACGCATGCACATGTAGTGTACTGCTTCCTTTTCACTTGAAGATGCCTTTCCTTCCATTGCTCGGTATTGTGCTCGAGTGAAGTTAATGTAAGCCTTTCCCCAATGTTGACAATACAGGGAAGTCAAGCACGCTCATGATGTACAGATGTCAGATCATTTCTAAATCCTTCTGAGACACTGCCTTTTCATGGTCTTCCCATCAGCGTGGTTTCTTTGTGGAATTTGCAAGAATACGCAGGAGTTACCTGTGGGTATTTCTGTTTTTACTGCATGTTTATGAAAGGTCTTCGCCACAGAGCCCTCCAGAAGTGCTCTCCCCTGTGCGTTCTTACCTACGGGGTGTGAGAGGTAGTTACCACTTACTCACCAAGGCAGTAATAATGGGGAGCCCCTGGGTGCTACAGAATGACTGCTAACTGAAAGGTTGGAAATCTGAGATCACCCAGATGTGCCTCAGAGCAAAAGCCTGGCAGTCTGCTTCCAAAAAATCAACCACTGAACCCCTAGTGAGCACAGTGCCACTCTGACCCACATGGGGTGTTGGCCAGATGAGTTGTAATTGACTGCATGGCAGTGGGTCTGGGTGTGGTGTGCAGTAATAGTGGAGAGTACCCATTTCTGTAGTATTCAGTTAGTGATTTTGGAATCATGTGCTTGTAACTTGCCCTGTAAGTTACTAGACTGTGAGCTCCATTAGAGCAGAGGAGCCACCCTCTGCTTACTAACTGAGTCCCAGTACTGATCACAGTACGGCACACTTAAAAACCTGTCACCGGCCAGTCAGTTCTGACCCAGCATGGAACTGCCCCATGCGTTTCCAGGGCTATGATCCTTATGGAATCAGACTGCCACCTCTTTATCTACATCGTAGCCAGTGGGTTCCAGCCACTCACCTTTTGGTTAGTGACCGGGTGTGTAACCACTGTACCATCAGAGCTCCTTGTAGCACACTTAGGCTCTCAGTAGTTACTGATTGAATGGGTGAGTTATCAGTGAGTGGCTCTGTCTTGTAGAAATCTCGTCATGCCGATTCTTGTCAGTGACTCATTTCTTGAAACTTCAGAGAGATTATGAACTGGCACCACCTGCCAGACTCCTCTCATGCGGCTCCAGCAGGTTCCCACGAGGTGAGGGTCTTCAGTAGGTTCAGATCTCTTTAGTAGTATTGTATAGTATCTGTGTGTTACGTTCTCATGCGTTTCTTAACATTGAAAACTATTTTAAAGATGATCAGGATCATGAATGCTTTCCTTGCATTTCTCCCATCTGTGCTGTTTGCCTGCCTTTGGTGTGTGTGGCGAGCACTAAGGCAGAGGTGGTGGTAGGGGTCAGTGGAAAGGTCGATGGAGCCACAGCTGGAGACTTGGAACCAAGCACATTTCTCCTGTGTGAAATTGACGTAAAAGAAGTCGCCGCGGTCAAAGTAAGCTTCATGAATTCCAGTGTGCTCGGACCCTCTGCAGAAAAGGCTCCGTGCTGTTTTCTTGCTGGTTACTGGGTAGCACCGCCCCTGGAGAGCTCCCTGCTGTCGCGGTCAGTTTAGCCAAGAGCATCTGGCACACGTCTCATGGGGTTGTTACGATGTTGAGCTTTTTTTGTTTTTTTGGAAAGTACGTAGTTCTTGTGTTTTTGTGATCAGTGACTCTCTTATTTTTTACAGTATATTTTTGGAGATTTCAGCCCTGACGAGTTCAATCAGTTCTTTGTGACACCTCGCTCTTCAGTTGAGGTAAGACCAGACTTTGTTTAGTGAGTGTGTGTGCTCACATATAATTTATGGTTATGTCTCAGCTTTCATTTTTTTTGGAGATCTGTTTTTTTTTAATTGTGATTTGGGTGAAGGTTTA